TGTTGCTTCCTGACCTGCATACAGGTTTCTCAAGAGGCAGGTCAGGAGGTTGGTATCCCCATCTCTTGAAGAATTTTCCATAGTTTATTGTGATCCACACACTCAAAGGCTTTAGCATAGTCAGTGAAGCAGAAGTAGATGTTTTTCTGAAATTCTCTTGCTTTTCCCATGATCAAACAGATGCTAGCAATTTGATCTCTGGTTCCTCTGCTATTTCTAAATCCACTTGAACATCTGGACGTTCACAGTTCATGTACTGTTGAAGCCTGGCTTGGAGAATTTTAACCATTACTTTACTAGTATGTGAGATGAGTACAATTGTGTAGTAGTTTGAGCATTCTTTGCCATTGCCTTTCTATGAGATTGGAAGGAAAACTGACCTTTTCCAGTCCTGTGGCCACTGCTGAGTTTTCCAAATTTGCTGGCATATTGAGTGCAGCACTTTCACAGCATCATCTTTAAGGATTTGAAATAGCTCAGCTGGAATTCCTTCACCTTCACTAGCTTTTTCATAGTGATGCTTCCTAAGGCCCACTTGACTTCATATTCCAGGATGTCTGGCTTGAGGTGAGTGAGCACATCATTGTGGTTGTCTCGGTCATTAACATCTACTTTGTATAGTTCTCATTCTAATTTCCAGCAACACACTTGAATAGAATTTTTTTTTTTAATTTACTTTAAGATGTCATGAAGTTTTAGGGGTTCTGAGTTTCTCCAGTCATTACTATAAGTCATATTTCCTGCCGATTGCCTTTTTTCTCTCCAATCTCTTCTTTGGTGAGAAAATTTCCCAGGAAAAAGCATCTGTATAAACATTTTTGTATGTCATCTTAAGGTCAACTGAAAGATGAAATAGATATTTTGGGAAAGTTTAAATCTTCTGAACTGAAAATTATGTATATGTAGCTTGATAATTGGTGTTTTCTGTTTGAGGCAGCTTCAGAATCTCCAAATTTTCATTTCTTATTACCTGTCTCTTAGACAATCAATAACCACATTCTTACCTGTTTTAATATAGTCTAATAATTTCCTTATTTGTATTTAAAACCCAAACTTCTACTGTGACTTAAGGAATTGCTATGAGAAATGAACCCCAAATATGAATGGCTTCATATCACAGCAGTTTCTCATCATGTGAGGTCCAATGGGTTGTAGGATGAGAGGCAAGAATTGTACCCATTGCATTCATTCAGTGATCCAGGTTGAGGGACGCTGGGAGACTGCTTTCTCATGTGACCTCTTTGTTTGTCCTAACATTTCTATTAAGCCAGCAGATAGGGGAAGAGTAATAAATACTGGAAGAGCCCCCAGAAGTGCTCTTTGACAGATATCCATAGGTGGGTATCTTAAATTAAAGATATTTCTACCTTACCAAAAGGTCCAAGGAGGTCAAGGATATGTTTCTCTTATCCACGTATGTGCTCAAATACAGTACTTAGCAGACATCATGTCTAATGTTATCTATGGATGAATGAATTAATGAAATTTAGGGTATTGCCTTAATAACATGTTTCAAAATAGAACAGGATATAATAATGTTCTTGATAACAAAGGAAAAGTTCTTAAGACTGCAACAAAATTATGATGAGTAAAAACTTAAGACCAGGCATTATGGAAAATACTGTCAGGCTGATGTTGCTTAGGCTAGTCAGATTATTTCAAGCAATCACCTAATGCATGCCCTTTAACAGCTATTTTTGTATGTATGAATGTGCATACACTCACACATAAAATGGGATCTTGAAATAAAAGTAATGAAGTCTAATCTATTCCTTCCTAAAATGGATTATCTTGCATTTAGAAAAAATCTTTCAAATAAATCTGAGATATGATCATTTTATATGCCCTCTACATGACTTGAATATTGTTATATATTTAGCTACCTTCTCAAGATATGTGCCATTATTGGTTTAATTATCATGTGAGGAAGGATATTCAATCAATTCTCTAACCCATTTCCATCTCCAAGTTGCTATATATTTGCAGTCAAAATATCTTCTTGTCTGTAATATCTAATCCCTCAGCTTTGTTCTTTTGTGTATCTTTTCTGCATTCAGAGTACCAAGGGGAAAATAATAGCTTAACCATTTTATGTGGAAATAAACTCTTGAATGTATTTTCACAAAAAGGTATAACAAGGCAGTTGTGGAGTGGAAAAATCGAAGTCATGAAATTACATTTTACTTTCAAATTGGAATTTGTTTGTTGATGAAAAGTTGGATAGTGTCAGACAAGTGCCATATTTTAATACTTGGCAATTTAGAACATGCTGGACTCTGCCTTCAATTACTGATATCATTTCCTCCTCTTTGCTTACTTTCCAGATCGGTTCGCTATGTTAGCCAACAATAATCTGCAGATTCTCAACATCAATAAAAGTGATGAAGGTATATACAGGTGTGAAGGAAGAGTGGAGGCTAGGGGAGAAATTGACTTCCGTGATATCATTGTTATTGTTAATGGTAAGCAAAGAATAATTTGTATGTATTTTGTCGCTGCACTTAGCAATATGTTTATTAAAAGGGGAACCATGGAAACTCAGCACTTAAGGCTAATAAGCCTCTGCTATCCCCGTAGGAAGTCGCCTCACCTATAATATAGCATTTGTTGCTGCACTACAGCCTCAAGGACAAGCATGCATGTTAAATTGCTTCAGTTGCGTCTGTTTGCAACCCTATGGACTATAGCCGGCCAGTCATCTCTAACCATGAGATTCTCTAGACAAGAATACTGGAATAGATTGTGGGTTGTCATGCCCTCCTGTAAGGGATCTTCCAAACACAGGGATTGAACCCTCATCTCTTATGTCTCCTTCATTAGCAGGCAGGTTCTTTACCACTGGCGCCACTTGAAAAACCCTCAAGGGCAAAAATCTGTGACTTATTTAATACTGTTATCCTCTTTTACAAAGAGTCTATAAGGGAGTAGTTGCCTTTTGCTGATTTTATAGTTGTTGAAAGAATTTCAGATGAAATATAGTGAAATACAATACTAGATTTTGCTTCTAAATTACAGGGGTTACTTGCTTAAACTAATCTAATTAGCAATATTTATGGTTTTCCCTAATGTAATAATTAAATGCATTGTTACCCTTTGAAACCTTAATGGACATTAATAACTAAATTTTTGACATCAGGATGACATCTCTTCCTCCAAATTTGGCTTCTTTTACTATACTGCCTGCTTGCATTAACATACTATTCTGTGAGGCCAGTAATATGTTAATGCTATCTTAATTATTTCCACTTTGATAATCTAATGGGTCACCAAGGTGCACACTGTATTTCTTTAACATCTATCAAATATACTCTACTTTTCCTATCATGCTTTCCGTAAGAGTGCTGCCCTTTCCAATTGTTGTTTTTTTCTTCCCCTTGAGTGACCGCAAGTTGTTTTCTCTACTCTTAATTTTACAACTTCAACTTTTCTATCTAACCCACCTTCTAATACTTAAAATTATCAGTATTTCCCATTACTTTCAAGACAAAATCAGAAGCACTTTTCACGGCATAGGAAGCTGTTTATGATCATCAGCTACCTTCCCTAAGCATTCAGTCTGGGTAACCTGTGCTTTAGCCATATGGAAATCCTATTAGTAACACAATACAAATGTACTTTGACTTGGTCTTCTGAACAAATTCAGGTCTTTTAAACCGAGTTAGAAACAACCATAATCACATAATCTATAACCAAAATGTAACTTGTTCCTTTTGGAATGGACAAAATATGAATTTAAAGAGTTAGCCATGAGTTTTCTATCACTTGGGACTGGGAGACTGAAAAATTAATCAATGTCTTCTTCCCTATCCTATGCCCCTTCCACCATGAGCTATCCCTCCACTTTTTTTTTTTAAGAGAGTGGGCAACAACACCAGGAATAGATCAAATAGAGTTATTTGGTTTTTCCTTTCCTGAAGTAAAGTAGTTTAACCACAGATTTAATGCTGAAAGATAAAAAGAATATTAAATCATTGATTTTTCCCACCTTATTCTATAAGTCTACAATTAATTGATATTTAGGAGACCTAGGCTCCCTCCCTGAGTTGGAAAGATCTCCTGGAGAAGGGAATGGCTACCCACTCCAGTATTCTTGCCTGGAGAATCCCATGGACAGAGGAGCCTGGCAGGCTGCAGTCCATGCAGTCACAAAGAGTCAAACACAGCTGAGTGACTGGCGTTTTCACTTTCAATTTCATGGATAAAATAATGGAATAGACCAGGTAGAAACTAAAGAAGTAGGTAGAAACTGCACATGCTCTATGGTGAGGTCAAAGTGCCAGGCCTTTCAAGAGAAGATTTTCAGAGCCTTTTTTTTTTTTTTTTTTGGTGTGTAAAATCTGTTATTTATTGAGACTATTATAGTCAGTGGAGGTTTTGACATTCAACCCAAGAGGAAGATTTTCGTGAAGATGAAGAATAATATGTTTAAATATGAAGATGTGTAGATGTTTGCATCTATATATATTAATACATATCTATATTTTTTATTTTTATTTATGAGCATTTCTAATACCTTTCTCTCTTTATTCAATCACCAAAGGTAACTTAAGTGGCTATTTAGTTTCTTAATTAGTTGACTTAACTGTCTACCATCTTTGTTTCTGAAAGAATTTAAGGTAGGAAATTTTGTATTTTTTGTCCTGGGCAAGACCTTGTGCTCAGTATATTCTTATGAAAATGGGGGTTATAGATTAGTTAATACATGTAAGGTTTTTTTAAAGGACTAAGTTTATAGGAAGCACTATACAAATACGGACTATGATTGTATGTTATATATGTGTGTGTGTGTCTGCTGATGCTTAGTCGTGCCTGACTGTGACACCATGGACTGTAGCCCACCCGACCCCTCTGTCCGTGGGGTTATCCCAGCAAAAATACTGGAGTGGGTTGCCCTTTCCTCTTCCAGGGGATCTTCCAGACCCAAGGATTGAACCTACATCTCCTGCGGCTTCTGTGTTGGCAGGTGAATTTCTTTTACCAGTGAGCCACCTGGGAAGCCCATGTTACATATGTATGTTTATATAAAATTCTAGAGTAGAAAACAGAAACCCAAAGCAGTATTCTTGCCTGGAAAACTCTGTGGACAGAGGAGCCTGGCAGGCTACGTACAGTCCATGGGGCTACAAAGAGTTGGACATGGCTGAGAAGCTGAGCACTTGTGTAATATTATGCATGTATTTTTATACTAAAACACTATTTTGAGACTTATCATAAAAAGGAAATGTCATCTGGAAGATGTAGCTTATTAAGCTTTTATTATCCATTCTGCTATTGTAATTTCTTTTAATACATTTACGAATGTTCTATTTCCACATTAGATTATCTGTGGTAGTTTGAATGTGATGATATTTATTTTAAAGGAAGGATTATTTGGGTATAAGCGGGTCCAATTAACAAAGTTTGAATCATCCAGTCCATCGTGATCTACATTCAAACTGGAATGTTTATTTCTTTATCTATGCTTATTATTTCCAGGCTCGTAAAGAGATAAATACTGGACACAAAAGAATACACATGTTCTTTTGTGCAGTTCACATCAATCATGGATGTAATGTCCTTTTGTGGCTGCATCACACTGACCTCCAAATTAATCACCCTCCTTACACATCCTACTTTTCTTCTCACATACTTATCTGACCTTTGCTTGAATATCACTTTATCTCCAGGTCTTCTTATTAGTCATTTTTCCCTGTTGGGGTCACAAGCTCCCATATCTTAGAATTCTTGGAACTACTGTTCTCCAAAATAAGTGTTCACAAAACCAACCATTGATTTATTTACTTTCTGGATGACTCAACTGGACCCTGTTAAGGGAATGCATTGACTAATGCCACCAGATGACTGCACTTTTCTCTCACATTTTGCCTTTATATAGAGTCAGAAAAATCATTCTTCTCCAGTCTTACTGACTCCGGCTTACCAGCTCCTTTTAAAGTTTGAGCCCTCTCTAAAACTATCCTTTATTATTTATCTCTTATAAAATCCCTTATCCCTTGAAGTTGTTTCAATGAAAACTTTGAAGTTGCATAAATTAGTAATAAAATAAAGACACTAACTTTATCCACATTATCTTATTTTTGTTCAGTTACAGTATTTGATGAATTATATACTTTTTCTCTCCAATTTATAATACATGCCTCTCTCTTATTTGCTACTAATTTTTATCCTTGGTAAAATTATTTTATCCTTGATAAAATTTGTTGTGGACCTCTTTCAACTCTTTTCACCTCAAAGCATATTGAAGTTCCAACCAAATACTCCATCAAGTTTCTTCACATTCACTGATTTCTTGCCAAG